CCTTCCTTCCTTCCTTCCTTCCTTCCTTCCTTCCTTCCTTCCTTCCTCCCTCCCTCCCTCCCTCCCTCCCTCCCTCCCTTCTTTCTTTCTTTTTCTTTCTTTGTAGGTATAATGTCCTTTTAAAATGTATACGCCTTACCCTTGTTAATTCAAATGTTGATTTCCCCACCTCCAACTCTCTGGTTTCAATCCGGATACTGCATTGTGATACTCATTATAAGCATCCTGTCTCAACTCTTGTGTAAACAGGACAAAATAAAGCAACTAGATACAATGTTGTGCAATGGGAGGAGCAAGAGGACAGGAAAGAGGGAGGGAGCTAGAGAGCAGGAGAGGAGTGGGAGGAGAAGGGGGGAGGAGAGCTAGGAGAGCAGAGCTGGAGGAGAGATCTTGGAGGACGTGGAGCATGAAGCAGACCTAAGATTTCACAAAAAGCAAGTATAAATGTGGGAAATCTAAATGTTAGGAAACTGAGGGCTTGGAGGTTTAGGAGCGAATAAATATTGCCCAGCATTGTGTTCTAGGTTAACTAAAAACCCAGTCTCTCTGTGGTGATTTTGTTCTACAGCTGCTGAGGATTAACAGCAGCTTTACTAGAAGATAAACCAATAGTAAAAATTAATAACCACCTACAACATTTCTTTCTTTCTTCTATTATCTGTTTCAGTTCCCAAATAAAGACACAGAGACCTATTAGAATTATGAATAAGCTTTAAAACACTGCATCTGGGCCGATACTGATCTATTCTAATCCATCTATACGGATTAGAGTCTAGAACAGCCTGGCTATTTCTCAGACACGTACCCCGTGTCTCTTGCCATCTTAGTCTCATCTTGGCTGTTTCTGCTCCATCTGTCTGTCCTCGTGGTGACCTCTCATGGCCACCTCCTCCTCTCTCCCTCAGCTTTCTCTCTGGTCCCTTCTGAGTGGGATCTGAAGTCCTGTCTCCCCCTCCCTCTCTGCCCAGCCATAGGCAATCAGAGATGATGGAGAACAATATTTACACAACATTGAGGTAGGAGATTCTTCATAAAAATGACAACGCCAGATCTCAGGGCACAGAAACCAGCAGTGCACAAGACCATCCCCAGCAGCTGGTGGATTTGGAATTTTGCTCCCTGTTGTTACTTTCTTACAGCTAAGATCATCTAATTGACCTTGAGGTGGGCCATCAGACTCAGCCCACGACTGCTCCTTGCCCTGCTGGCATGGGCTCCCTACTGTCATAAAGCCTGTCTGAGGGCCTCCTCCCAACCCTATCATCAGCACCAATGCTGGGGTGCCCCTTTTGTGAGGCAGCTGCTTTTATGCTACTCCTCCTCCTCACCCATATCCTTGAAAAGTAGCCTCAGGAAACCACCTGGCTGTCTAAAACTAGACCTGGGTGGAATTGTTTTCCTGGCCTGACATTGGTGCTTTATCTAGGGTAAACAGAAGTTCTTTTGCCTCTCCCCAGGACGTCACACACCATTAATACCTTCATCAACCTATTCATAGATGCATGGAGCTTGCCTCTTCCAGAACTTTGCTCTCTAAATGGATATAATATTCAAGGTCAAATAATTTCAGGAAACCTTAGGAATATATTGCTAATATCAAACGGAAAACGGCCAAGTTTAACATATTTCAATAATTTGGCCTCTCTCAAAATGGAGCTCTGGTTACCTCTTGCTTTTGTTCAGTTAGCAATATCACACAGTTTGCCAGGTGTGGGGAGTGTTGAGGTAAGCCTTTTGAGGGCCATAGGGAATGTCGAGTGAGGTGTCAGCAATTCCTATGACTCCTCAAAGGTCCTGATCCAGTGCACACAGTGTTGATCTAGTAGAGACTCCTAGCACACTAGTGAAAGTGTGGATTCAAAATGGATCTGGGGCTGGGGAGGTGACTGCGTCCCCCTTCTTTACAGAAGTCTTTTCTAAGGTGACCTTATTTTCCAACCCCCATCTCCCACATTTTCTAATAGTTGCACCAACACTGACTGTTACTGAGGCTAGCATGGGATGGTCTGGTTGGCCTTTCAATCATTTAAAGGCTGTTACACTGGACAATAAAGTTAGATATGCACCCTTGAGTCTGGTCTCTGGAATCTGATTCCCGGCATCCTCTGTAGGCTCCGTCGATACTCACCCTCCTCCCCTGGTTCCTGATCCCCACAGCTAGGGTCAGCAGGCCCAAAGGGTCACTTTCAAACACCACATAACACAGTCTTATCTGGACTAATAACTACAGAGGGAGAGACCAGAGGCCAGAGCAGGGAGCCTCAGCAAAGGACCATGTATGTGTATCAGTTCTGCCAACTGCTCTTAAAAAAATGCAAGCGTCTCTCAATTTTTCCAGCATTTTACTTTCTCCTCATGTAGCATCTCTGGAAGCTCAGGAAACTGAGAGACCCTTGAGAAATCCTTAGTACTAGTGTCTATTCACTTTCCCCAAGACTAACATCAAAGGACCCTCTTGTTATACTATTTTATCTTTGATCAGGACTAAGTCACATCTTGTCTGTCACAAGTCCCTTAAAGTACTGTTAATTCTGAGTTATAGATCAGAAGTAAGTGTGCCCGATGCTGACGAACCGTGGGTCTGAGATGCTGTTACCTTGCTTGCATCTCCTCTGCAGCTCTCCTAAGACATGGGATACTTTCTGGAGCCACTTGCTGATGTGCTGAGCTGGGTAGGCCAAGCCCTTGGTCTTCGGGAACTTCCAAAGGTCAGGAGAAGCCAGCTGACAGATGGTTTCTACAGATATTAAGATGGAAAGAAGAGGGATATGGAAGTTATGCACACCAGCAGTTTCATCTGGGACATTGGTCCAGGCCACAGCAATCGGCTTTCTCTGAGAACTACCTCTTACCAGATTTCTTCACCTGGGTATTGCCCCCAGCGGCATATTTACACCATAACTTTCCCCTATTTCACCCACAGCTGACGGGAGCAAAGCTGAAGACTCTCTGGAGGTTGCTGGACTGCCCCTTAGAGCACTGCAACCCGGAAAACTTAAGGAGAAGGAAAGCGTCCAGGCATGGAGGTGCATGCCCACCATCCTAGCACTTAGGAGTCTGAGGCATGAGGATTTCAAACTGAGGGCCAGACCGGGCTACATAGTGTGTTCTGTGCCAGCCAGCAAACACCTTATCTAAGAAGAAGAAGGAAGAAAAGAAATTAAAGAAGAAGAGAAGGGAGAGGAGGGGGAAGAGGAGGAGGGTGACATACGAGAATAGCTACCAGAGCGTGAGAAGATGGCAGCCTATGGGCTGAGGACCCAAGCTGCCATGGAGCCTCAGTGCCAGTGCTGTCTTCCGGAATCCATCTGGGATCACACGAGACATTTCCTGCTTCTCAAATGGGCTTGTGGGTTTGGCTATAATCACTCTATGTGACCTAATGATGGCTTAAGTGTGCTTCTGGGAAAAAAAAAAAATATATATATATATATATACATACACATATATATATACACACACATATACACATGTATACACACATGCACACACTTCAAGACATCTAAAAGTGTTGAATCACACAGTCATCCAGAAATGGGTCCAGAGGGGCATTGTGAAATTAATACGCATAAGTTGCTGGATTTTGTAACAGTTCAAACAGTACAAAACCCTCAAAATCAGCCTGACCTGCAAGCATGCCAAGCAAGTCCCGTGTCCCCTTCCTTCTGTGCTCAAGGCGCTGCTCTGCTCATCTCTGCTCGCTGGTCCTGATGGGGCGTGGACCCAAGGCTCCTGCTCTGAGCTGCACGTCACCTCCCTGGGATGCTCCAGTGATGTCAAGCTCATCCTGACACATCATTCTGGGGATGAAACTTTCCTGATAGCCACAAGACGAAGGCAACAGCCTGGGTAAGAGAACACATTCACACACGGCACACAGATACATACACTTTTGGGCACACTCATGCATGCTCACAGACACGTTCACAGTCATACAGACACACACTCAGACATACTCCAACACAGGCACACACACTCACAGATAGACACAGGTATACTCACACAAATACATCCACATGGACACACTCCCACATACACACACACACACACACACGCATCCACACAGACACACTCTCCCACACATCCACAGGTCCTCATAGACACATACATACACACAGACACACACTCAGACTCATACACGTAATACATATACATACTGAGACACTCATGTTCATGCCCCTATTAAATTCCGTGGTAATGGAGGACTCCTGCTAGTGCACGGGTGGGTAGGTGGGTGAGGGGGGACAGCAGCTGCCTCACCAGAGCCCTGGTCTGTCCTGACTTCATTCAGTCACAAAACAAGGTCTCAAGGATCGGAGGAGCTGCCTTCTCACTGCAGCCGAAGCCACAGCGTCCAGCATGGTTCCCGTCTGGTCTAATGGCTCCGGCTCCTCTTCTGGGCCAGGCTTCTTTGTCTCCTGTCTAGTGTCGCAGGCCATGCTGGCCAAGCTCTTGGCTCCAGGATGCCAGGCTTTGCCAGCAGGCTCTCACGATGTCTAACGAAGAGGCCGCCAAGCCCGGGCCCAGCACTGGCTTGTCATCCACAGGCAGGGGCCTCTCCCACGACACCCTGGCTGGCCCTGCTGTCACCTCTCTTTGTGAGAGCACTGACTGTAACATCTTGGCTCTCGTGCACCCGGCCACAGGCCTGGCCTTGTCTGGTAGATAAGCACAGTCAAACTCCAAACCCCAGTGCTAATATGGGGAGGCTACGCAGTTCTCCGCAAAGCCCAAGCTGTCATGCCTGAGACTCACACACAGAGTTACGGGAAGAAGAAGCATGCTCACCAGAAGCCCAGGCTTCTCCTTCCGGAATGACCTCCCCAACTTTCCCTGGCAGTTGATTCTCTCTGTTTTCTTTTATTAGGGTGCAAAAGAAAACAGAGACACTGAAGTCACAGCATCTGCGAAAGGTCTAGGCCAGTGTTTCGAAAGTGAGGGCCACATCAGAAATGCTGAGGGCTTGTTAAAGACAAGACTGGGTGTGGAGGTGGGAGGGGCTTGTGAACTCTGACCCCTGGCTGAGGAGCTATTGACAGTTGCTGGGGAGAGTCAGTTTTCTTAAGGGTGTGGTCTCTGACCAAGCTCTAGCCTATGGTCCGAGTGGATGTCTATATAGCCAGCACAAAATGAACTCAGTGGGTGTGGTAGTTTGAATGAAAACGTGCCCTGTAGGCACATAGGGAGGCCCGGGGCCTTGTTGGAGGAAGTGTGTCAAAGGGGGTGGGCTTTGAAGTTTCAGAAGTTCAAACCCCGCCCGGTGGCTCACTCACTTTTTCTGCTTCCTGCAGATCCAGACGGAGAACTTTCAGCAGACTCAAACACCGTGTTTGCCTGTGTGCACCATGCTTCCCGCCGTGATGACAGTGGACTAACCTTCTGAACCTGAAAGCCAGCCCTAGTTAAACGTTATCCTTCATAAGGAAACATGGCATGGCTATGGTGTCTCTTCACAACAACAGAAACTCAAACTAAGACAGTGGGTTATTAAAAAAAAATAAGAAAAGGAGACATACAATTGGAAGAACTGGGAACGGATCTGAGAGGAATGGGAGTGAGTATACTCTAAAATACAGTCCATACGTGTATGAAATTCTGAAAGAATTAATAAAAAAAATCAGATTTTTAAAAATTCTAGCTGGTTGAAAAAGAAAAGACAGGCCTGAAGCCCCACCTCAACCTTTCCAAGTTAGAACGGCTTCGAGCAAGGGCTTGTATCGGCTTATCAGGGCCCCAGGTGAATGCAATACGCACTGAAGTTCTCAGACTCAGCCCAGCTCGGCTTGATCATATCTAGCAGCAGGGTGTGACGCGTGAGTTCTTCGTTCTGAGATCCCTGTAGAAGACAAACAGACAAACCTACAGCAACCTTGGAGATGTCATCGTCAGAACCGAGCTATGAATTCTTAGAGATGATGTTTTAGTTCCTTTTCACTTCCTCAAGGATCTCGTGGGCAAATCATGAATGAAAATATGAACCTCGAGTGATTTATGGTGTGGTGGTGTTATTTATGTGACTAAGGGTTCCTAGAGCCATTGGTCTCCAATTTACTGACTTAGGAAAATTAAACAGCATACAATTTCTGGGAACTTGCTTCCGTTTGTCATTCAGGAAGAACACCTCCCTGGCAAAGAAGTGGCATCGTCCACTAGAAAACCAAATGCCATCCAGGACACCAAGATAACCGAGGTCTTATTCTTAGGCCCAGGAAGACTCTTCATCCATTGATAGATGGCTGAACATTGACTTTCTATCTTTAGTCTGGTTCTGTAGAACCTGCCAGCATGCCTGGAACCTCACCTCCTTCTGTGCAGCCTCTGGCATGAAGGAAATGGAGAGTCACATGGTTTCATACATTGACCCTTCCGAAGCCAGTGGGGTATGTGATTTGTCCAAGATGAGGCTCTTGAAGTACAGCAATATTATGGATTGGACCCTAAGTGTCCAGAGATTCAGGTGCTAAGGGCTTGGTCCCCAGACACTGCTGTTGGGACTGGTGGACCCTTTAAGAGGCGGGGCTTGGTAATAGGAAGTGAGGTTATTGGCGACATGCACTTGAAGGGACATTGGCATCTTGGCCCCCATCACCTTTCACCTCTCATGCTTCTTGCTTCTCAGCAGCCATGAAGTAAGCAGATTTGGGTCCTCCACATTCTCCACCATGACAGACCCAGAAACAAGAGAGGAAATACTCCTCACAGCTGTTTTACTGACAGAAAGTTAACACAGCAGAATTCTAAAAGTTGCCTTAAATGGCTTGATTTTTTGGGTCCAAAAATTGAGCCACAGTCTCCATGAAGGCATTCTGTGGAGGCTGTTCGGGACCTTTTGGTGTTGTTGGCATTCGGTCTGCAAATAAGGCTGACTCACAGGCCATCACCCACTTCTACTACTGGTCCAAGTGTTCTGCCCCCATCTTTATAAGAGAAAAACAGAAAAACTTGGTAACATTGAATATTAAGGACTCAACACCATTTCTCTGAGATATATCTAGAGAAAAGCTTAGAAAAGGACTGCTGTCCCCCAAAGGAGTTGGGCTAATATTGAAATTTTAGGCGTTAGCTAGAGAGAGAACTTCTTGACATTCCTTTAAAGCTGTGTTCATTCTGCCAAAGCCTTCCTATAACCTAGGGTAGATTAGAATATAGACTCTATGGTGGCTGGAGAGATGACTAAATGATTAAGAGCCTGCTGCTCTTCCAGAGGACCCCAGTTTGATTCCCATGTCTGGCATCTGACAAATGTCTGAAACCTCGTTCCAGAGCAACAAGCATACACAAACACATAAAAACAATAATTTTTTAAAAAGACCCTCCTACCCAAAAGAAAAAGACAGTATGAAAGAAAAGCTTAAAAATGTAATTTAATTAACTAAACTATCTTAAATAACTCCAAAGAAGGCATTTGGAGATCTAGACTTACAATATTAAATAAACTTGTAAAAATTGTCTATCCTTGGAGACCCCCAGTACAAACCAAGGTGAAAGAACAGACACTAGATTTATCCCTTCACTCAAAGCGACTGAAAACCCAGGAAAAACATATGAAACAATGGCTCCCCAGACATCTCACATCAGGCAGTGAAGATTAGTGATTCCTGAGAGAATGGGATAAAAGATGAGCTGATTCCTGAGGTTGCCAACCCAACCCCCTGCCACTAACCAGCCCGAGTCTCCAAGTCCAGCGCCGGAAAGGGAGTCCAGACAGCCAGACAAAAACGTTACAGGAAAACAAAACTGCAGACCTATGTTCTTCACAAACGAGATGTATGAATTCTCACCAAAATTTCAGCAAACTGAATCCAATCATATAAAGAATAGTTTGTTATGACTAAGGAGGATGACCTAGGAATGCAAGAATCATGTTCATTATTCAAAAATCTGACAGTACAATTGAGCAAATATTAGGTTTGGATATGAAGTCTCCTCTCACAAGATTCATGTGTGGAAGGCATCCTTCCCACCTGGTACACTTATTCAGTCACGGAGGGGTGAGGAGATCCTGGAGATTCTGACTTGACTAACAGGCTAATCACAGATGGATTAATAACCCGATGGCATTATTGGGAAGCAGTTGAAACCTTTGAACATGAGTCTTGTTGGGGGAAGCGGGTTGTGAGGGGTGGGTTCTGGAGTCTTATGTCCTGCTCAGGGCCCTCCTCTCCTTTTCTCTCTTTGCTCCCGAGCCACCATGAAGGGAACAGCCTCATGTGTCACAGGCTTCTGCTGCCATGGTGGTTCTCCTCACCAAACACTAAGGTTGGAGCCTGCCCTTGAAATTGTGTGGCAAAATAAGCTTTTCCGTACTTGGGCTATTCTTATTGAGTGTTTTGTTAACAACAATGAAAAACACAGCAAAACACTGTATTAATAAACAACAACTCCACAAGCAGAGCAACAGAACAAGATAATTTGAACACAGGGAACTTCCCAGAGACTCATACTCCAACCAAGGACTATTCGTGGAGATAACCTAGAACCCCTGCACAGATGTAGCCCATGGCAGTTCAGTGTCCAAGTGGGTTACATAGTAATGGGAAGAGGGACTGCCTCTGACATAATCTGATTGGCCTGCTCTTTGATCACCTCCCCCTGAGGGGGGAGCAGCCTTACCAGGCCACAGTAGAGGACAATGCATCCACTTTTGATGAGAACTGATAGACTCAGATCAGAAAGGAGAGGAGAACCTCCCCTATCAGTGGACTTGGGGAGGGGCATGCATGCAGAAAGGGGAGGAGGGTGGGATCGGGAGAGGAGGAGGGAGGGGGTTATGGGGAGATACAAAATGAATAAAGTGTAATTAATAATAAATTAAAAAATAAAAAAAATAAACAACAAAAAAAGCTATATGGCCATTTCAATGGAAACAGAAAGGAACATTGTCTAAGATCCAATTTATATTCCTGATACATATTCTCAAAAGTATAATTTAAAACCAAAGGGAATCTAATATATATAAAACATAGAATATATTATATAATTATAATATAGAATTTATAATTTATATAAATATATACATCCATATTTTATAGTTATGAATAAATATATAGTTATATGTGTAATATATAATACACATACATTATCTAGAGATATATGTTTATATATAAACTATATTATAATTATAAGTTAATATATAATTATATAATAATACTGTATGTGTATGTATGTTAGAGGTGGTGGCACATGCCTTTAATTCCAGTGCTTGGGAGGCAGAGGCAGGTGGATTTCTGTAGACCAACTTGGTCTACAGAACGAGTTCCAGGACAGCAAGGTCTACAGAGAGAAACCCTGTCTCAAGAAACAAAAACAAAAACAAAAACAAACAAACAATTGTTTTAATAAGAGATAACAGGAGGCTGAATGTAAAGTGGCCAGAAGATTTGAACAAACACTTCCTTACAGCAAATAGAAAAATGTCACGTGAAGCCTGCACAGCCACGTGCCTGTAATTAACAATACTATATTATATGCTTTGAAGAGTGATGGAGTCGATCACGTGCTATAGATTTTTATCATAAAACAAAAATAAAAGCACGTGAAAATATGACCAATGTAATTGGTATTAGAGAAACAAAGTTAAAACCACAACGAAACACCACTACATACCTTAAATGTCTAAAATTAAAAATCCTGAGCATTCCACTGGTTGACCAACTGCTGGGGAGGTAACCACAGAGACACTGACTGTCTTGTACTCTGCTGGTGCAAATACCAAATGGCATAATCCTTTTGAGAAACAGTTTGGCAGCTTCTTAAGAAGTTAATTGTGCCCTCTAACCCTTTTATCCTGCCATTCTGCTTCTCGATATTTACAAAAGAAAAATGAGGGCTTGTCTACAAATAAGGCCTGTGCTTAAGTGTTCATTAGAAACGTATTCGTAATAACCTAAATCTAGAAACAACTCAAA